GTGCTAGAACACCAGCTTTGAGTGGAAAAAGGAAGAGCACAAGGCACTGAGTTCAAGCCCCAGTACCGGCACAATAAAAGGAGGAGGAGAAAGAGAAGGACGAGAAAGAAGAGGAAGAGGAGGAGGAGAAAGAAGAGAAGGAAAAGAAGCAGGAGAAGGTGGTAAAAGAGGAGGTAGAAGAGGAGGAGAAGGAAGAGGAAAGGACTAAGACATCTGGGGCTCCCAGAGAAGCTTGCAGTCTGCTGAGAGAGACACGTAAATAAATTATTATGGAAGAGTTCTGCCAGGCAGCTGGAGAAATGCATGACTTCTGGGTATCTGGCTTGGGCAACAGGAGAGACATTAACAAGACAGGGAACATGTGGCGGTTGGGGAGGCAATGGGTTGTAGGAGAGGGGAGGGTGTGTATAGAGGGAAGATAATGACTGGTTTGGAGCATGTTGACTCAATGTGGGCTTCTTGACAGACTGAAGGACAAAGCTGCAATGCCCTATAAAAAGCAAAGTCTCGCTGTAGGTCTATGAACATTTAACAGGTATGGCATGTATGTTGCCATGGTTACTTCCCAGCACTGAGAGGAGTCTCAGTGTGTACAGCTTAGACTCCTGAAGACTTTTTAGGGGTCATTTGACACATTTTTTGTCTCAGCCAATAGGAAAGACCTGGGCCAGAGTAAACTTTGTTAAATGCACACAATTTGAGGGACATCAAAATTTTTCTCTTACTTCCAAGAACTAGTGGCTGACTGTGGTTCACAGTGATGGCCAGATGGTCACTGATTGAAACAATTGGGAATAGCCTTAGACAGTTCATGAATCTAAGAGGCTACATTCTATTATGTCTTTATACCAGCCAGGTGCTGGTAGCTCACACCTGCAATCCTAATCAACAGGCTGTGTTCTGAGGCCTGAGGTTTGAAGCCAGCTCAGGGAGAAAAGTCCTAAGAGCCTGAACTCCAATTAACCAAATGACTGAAGTGAAGCTGTGGTAGAACACCAGCTTTGAGTGAAAAAGCCAAGCAAGAGCTTGAGACTGAGTTCAAGCTCCAGGATTGGTGTGTGCGCTGTTTGAGTTTATAGGATGGCTCAAGTTTACATCCATCATCCTCACGATGAGTGACTGTTATGCTTATTTTATCAATGAGGAAGTGAGCCTGAGGGAGGTAGGACAATTTTCCGAGGTTTATAAACCTAGAAAGCTTAGGCCAAAGTTTAAACCCAGGTTATTCAACTGTAAGCCTGGTTATTTTCCCTGGGACTCTTATTACTTTTCATCAGCCAATTTTTTTTTTTTTTTTTACAGAACTCACTCATGCTAACAGAATTCTTTTATTTTCTTTTTCTCCCTCCTTCCCTCCCTCTCTCCCTCCCTCCCTCCTTTCCTACCTTTTTTCCTTCCTTCCCTTTCTCCTCTCTCCCTTCCTCTCTTTGTGCAGTAAGGACTGACTGCAGGTCTAGAGTGTGCCAGGCAAGCATTCTGTCACTGGACCATGCTTCTAACCCTTGATACTAATCTCAGTCTCAAATGAGCATCTTTCTTGTTTTCCTAGGAGAACAACTAATCTACCATGAGAAGTTTAACCATAACCCCTTCTATTGTCTTTTCTCCTTTTACTTCCGGTGATAAAGCTTTTCTGTCCCACATTCTTTCCTGACTTCTCCCATTCTTCAAGTCCCAATGAAAACCCCAAAAGTTAAAAAAAATCTCAACAACTGAAGAACCTGTAAAGAGGATACCCTGAAGCCTTAGCCATCGGCCTACAAATCCTGACATAAAACACAGAAAGCGGGGCTGGGAAGGTGGCTCAGTGGTAGAGTGCTTGCCTTGCATGCATGAAGCCTTGGGTTCGATTCCTCAGTACCACATATGTGGAAAAAGCTGGAAGTGGCACTGTGGCTCTAGTGGTAGAGCACTAGCTTGAGCTGTGTGGAAAAAGCTGGAAGTGGCACTGTGGCTCTAGTGGTAGAGCACTAGCTTGAGCTGAAGAGCTGAGGACAGTGCCCAGGCCCAGAGTTCAGGCCTACAACTGACAAAACAACAACAACAAAAAAAGAAAAAACACAGAAAGGAAAAGCATTTGCATGATGCAACAGGAGTCCACACACACCAAAATAAGTCTATATTTCAATGTTCTGGGTCTGTAAGGAGACTCAGAGTATGATTGTCAGACTTTCTGTTATAGGTGGGGAAAACTGAAAGTCAAGAATGTGAAAGGATGCACCTAAGATTACATGCTGAGAGGCGCAGCGTGGGCTGGAACCCAGTTCTCCTGACTGTCAGGTCAGTACCTTGCCTCATCATTTCACTTCATCTTGCAAGCAGAAAGCTCCAAGTTGCTGTCCACAAAACCCAGCTGCCACCCCCAACCCCCTGGCCTATGCTTTGATCAGCTTATGTCCTCATCTAAAGAACAGGAAGTGGCTTCATTTTTAGCTCTGACAGCATGTTCTGGGGGTGGGAAGGGAGATTTGGGGCAGAGAGTTCCTGTACATGGTGGTCAAGGGCATTCCACACACACTCTACACTGCTTGAAGAAGAGGAAGACAGATCAGATGGGGAAGGCCGAATTTGAGTTCTCCCAGAGGCATGATCTCAACAAAAGCTTCCTCAAGCCTTCAGGAAGATTCTACTCTACTCATTCCTTTCTCTGTTCAAAAGGGGCTGGACACGAGGATTGGGGCTGAGGTAGGAACAGCAGGATGGGAACATTTGCAGAAACTTTTATATTCTCCCTCCCCCTGTCCTCGGCTAGCACCCACATCTTTCCTTGCCAAGGAAGGAAGGAGGACTGCATCATTCAGTTTAATAATTTATACAAATTGAAAAGTTTGCTATGTGAAACAAAGGGGCCTTAAGAGGAAAAGAGAAAGAAAAATTTCTGAGTCCTCTCTCAATGGAAGGAGGAATAAAGGAGGCTTCTTGGTGATCTTGTCCTAACATGTTTTTTTTTTTTTTTTTTGTTTTTTGGTCGGTCCTGGGGCTTGAACTCTGGGCCTGGGCGCTGTCCCTCAGCTCTTCAGCTCAAGGCGAGCGCTCTACCACTTGAGCTACAGCGCCACTTCCGGTTTTCTGGTGGTTTATTGGAGATAGGAGTCTCACAGTCTCTCCTGCCCGGGCTGGCTTTGAACCACGATCCTCAGATCTCAGCCTCCTGAGTAGCTAGGATTACAGGCGTGAGCCACCAGCGCCTGGCTCTTGTCCTAACATGGAATAACCTGATTGTGAATAAGAAATGATGACTAAGAAACAATCAAAGTATGGCTCCCTTCGGTGGTGAGGCAAGCTTTTCCTCTTCTCTGAGAGGTGCAATCACATCCCACCTCAGGACATAAAGAACACACACTTGCTGGCAGGAGGCAGTAGGCATTTCTGTCTCTACCAGTGGTTCTCACATGTGACAGACTATCACAGTCACCTGGGGAAGCTCACTGCAAATCTAAAATGTCCAAGAATCCAACCCAGAAATTGATTAGGTAGATTTGCTGGGGTCTGGGAATCTTCTTTTTCAAGAAGCAGGCCTTGTTAAAGAACCAGTGATCTAGTTGGGCATCAGTGGCTCACTCTTATCATCCTAGCTATGTGAGGGGTGGAGATCTGAGGATTCTGGTTTGGAGCTAGCCTGGGCAGGTAAATGTGAGAGAGATTCTTACCTCCAGTTAATCAGTAAAAGTCTGTAAGTGGGAATGTGGCCAAAGTGGTAGAGCACCACTCATGATTTAAAAACAACAATAACAACAACTACTACTAAATGAAAGCACGAGGCCCTGAGTTCAAGCCCAAATAGCACACATACACAGACACATACACACACATGCACCCCCCATGAACCAATGATGTGGTTCAACTCCATTAGTCCAGCTAGCAATGCTTTTATAAAAAGTGCTGATTTCATACTAAAAAAGCCAAAGGTATTAAAAAATAAGTTGGGTTAGGTGCCAGTGGCTCATGCCTATAATCCTAGCTACTCAGGAGACTGAGATGTGAGGAACACAGTGTGCAAACAGCCCAGGAAGGAAAGTCTATGAGACTTTTATCTCCAATTAACCACAGAAAAAGCCAGAGGTGGAGCTATGACTCAATAGGTAAAGTGTTATCCTTGAGCAAAAGAAACTCAGGGAAAGCAGTTAGGCCCTGAGTTCAAGCCTCAGGACCAGCAAAAAACAAACAAGCAAACAGACAAACAAAACCAAAACAGCGTTAGGAGAGGGGTGCTGTTGGCTCACGCTTGCAATCCTAGCTTTTTAAAGGTAGAATTGACATAGTTCTTATGAGCTGGATGTGAGATGAAAAGAGGAGTTGAGGATGGTGCTGATGTATTGACTTGAGTCCTGGGAAGTCGGACTTACTATCAATGGAGCTGGAGAATCTTGGGAGGGACAACAGGAGTTTATCATGGACAAGGATTTATGATGTCTGTTACACAAACCAGAGGAAATACGTCACATGAATCTGGGGTTCAAGGTATGCCAGAGATAGAATTAGAGGCACATACAAGTAGAAGAAAGAAGAAGGTCAAGTACTCTGTCTGAGAACCATCTGGCATCAAGGGATGCCAGGGCAAAGAGCCTGAGGAGTGAGCAGGTAGGTGGAAGCCTGGGAATGAGTGGAGTCGTGGAATTTGAGTGGACAGTATTCTCAGGAGGAAGAGTGATGGTGGAATCCATTGCTGCTGCAGGTGAATTGGGCTGACACTGGCCTCCTGGATGTAGACACAAGAGGACACCTGGAACCAGATGCAAGCAACACTTGACACCTAATGTTATAGAGCCCTAGTGTGATTTCTTACTATCTTTTAGAATTCCTTTATTGCCAGTCTTGCCATCTCAATTAGATTGGAACCTTTGCAACACCAGAGACCATGAGTCAGCTTATTCCCAGAACACTAGGTGCTTGGCAAGCTGGTGGACCTTAGAAAGCTTGCTGTAGGCCCTGATGAGGTTTCACAAGCACACCCCACCCCTGGGCACTGCCTAGCACAATGTTGCTCATGCTTAGCTTACCTTGGACACAGAATTTCAGTTCCTTGGGGTCTGTGATACTCTTCCTGCTTTCCCGGATCACAGCTCTGTTCTTCTTGGTTTCTCCCCAGAGATTGGTGCCTCCGTACATGCTGGGAATGTTGAGAATGGCAATGCCTTCCAGGAAGATGTTGCTCAGGTCTACCTCGACCCCATCACACTGGGAAAGAGAGGAAAGCCAGCTCTTAGTGTCTTCCGTGGATTGCAACCTAAGCTGGTGTGTGTGTGTGTGTGTGTGTGTGTGTGTGTGTGTGTGTGTGTGTGTGTGTGTATGTGAGATAGGTCCTTAGCCACCACCTTGCCAAATCAAGTTTAATGCTTTGACCACCGCAGTAAGATGAGGTCATGCAGTCCTGGCTGCTGGAGAAGCATGTGGCTTCCCTAGGTCTAGAAATGCTCTCAGGATGGTCCCCAAGTCATCACTGAACTGTTGTCCATCCAGTTAACCCTTGTTAACATCAGTTTTGCCCCTTTCTATTCACTCTGAGGATTTATAGAGTCACTGACTCCAGAACCTAAAACATAACACATTCTGCACAAGGGATGAAAAGATTTCTTTGCATTTACTCTTATTTTAGCCCTCCTGCGCAAAAATATATGATTGTAATTGTTAGCTGGATGCTAGAGGCTCATACCTCTAATCCTAGCTACTCAGGAGGCTGAGATCAGAGGATTACAGTCTGAAGCCAGAATGATCAGGAAAGCGTGTGAGACTCTAATAACCAGCAAAAAAGCTGGAAGTGGAGCTGTGGCTCATCTACTAGAACGCATGAGTGAAAAGCTAAGGAACAGCATCCCAGGCTCTGAGTACAAGCACCAGTAACACACACACACACTCCACACTCACACACAGATTTTAAGATTTGGAGAGCCTTCAGAATTTGCCTCTTTCTCATATCTGGATTTTAAGTGCAATTTTGGCATATAGGCTTGCTGATGTAGCAGAGTTTCCTTCTCAAGCTTCTACCATCCACAATCCCCATCAGGTACGAAGGCTAGAACACTTGAATTTGCACATCTCTCATAGTGCTCAAGTTAAATCTGTTTTGGAATAAGGTCAGATATATTGGTAACAAGACAGCAAGAAATATATTATCTCTGAATCTTATTCCTCAGGATTGTGGGTAATTTAATTTGTTCACAGAGGAACAAACTGGATCCAGAGAGATGAGCTACATTACTCAAGACTGCACAGTTGATAAATAAGAGAGTAGGGATACAAACTTGGGGAAACGGATTGCAAAACTCCTTATCTTGCTTATTGTGAGAAAGAAAAATAAAAGCATACATTATCCAGGTGTTGGTAGCTGACATCTGTAATCTTAGCAACACAGGAGCCTGAAAGCTGAGGATCCTGGTTTGAGGCCAGCCAGTGTGGAGAAGTCTGTGAAATTCTTATAGTCAGCTAACCAGGAAAAAGCCAGAAGTGGAACCGTGGTCCAAATGGTAGGAGCACCAGCCTTGAGTAAAAAGCTCTAGGCCCTGAATGTAAGCCCCAGTGTGTTCTTTCTCCCTCTCCCTCTCTTTTCCTCCCCCTTCCCCCCACATCCCCCCAAGTAGTGTACTTCTTCATTGCTATGGTTTGCATGTCTCCACCTAACTCACATGGAGACTTAATTGCCATCATAACAGTTTTAAGAGGTTGGGCTCAATTCAGATTAGATGAGATGGCAAGGTGTGCACCTGAGATTGCATCCAGAGCTTACAAAAAGGAGAGAGAAACCCACCAGACTCTGCAGTGTACAACTACCAAAGCCCTCATCAGACAGCTCCTCAGCAGTGGATCTCTGCAAGCAGAATCTATTCTAGAATCTTGCCAAGTATTAGAATGAAGAATATCAATGTGTGGCTTCCAGAATATACTCTTTTTCCTATTTTTTTGAAAACGAGGGTGTGATTGGTCCGTTTGCCTCTCATTGGATAGTTCCTATTGTGTGTTCTAGGTTTGTCAAACTGGCCCCTGAATGGCACCTTGTTCAGCAACTTGCATTCAAACGTATGTGTGTTTTGCAAGGTCAGTAAATTCTCTGTTCTTCTACCTTAGACACAATATTCACTTTTACATTTGTTCTTCCATTTTAAATTTAGGACAACTACTCTGAAAAAGACCAAATCTCTTCTAGAGTGGCAGGGTCCCACTGAGCTATCTCTTTGTTTGGCTTCTGTTTTGTTTGCTTTGCTTTGACTCAAACATCATCTGCCTTCTCCTACCTGTTTAGTCTATCTGAAGTCAAGCTCAGTTTGGAGTTGCTTTTGGGGTGATACCTAGGCTTTTGCTCTCTTTGCATGTTTGTGGCTCACCCTGAGCTGTATTGTTGCCATTGTAGACTTAATTTTTTTTTGTTAGTCATGGAGCTTGAACTCTGGGCCTGGGCTCTGTCCCTGGGCTCTTCAACTCACCTTGAGCTGAAGAGCCATAGTGCCACTTCCCACCATAGACTTAAAAACAAAAACCAAATACTTTTCTCTTTTCTTCTCAATGAATAATGACTTGTTAGAAATTTCTTCTCTCTCTTCTTTTTTTTCTGCGTGCCCATACCAGGTCTTGAATTCAGTGTCATGACACTTTCCCATAGCTTTTTCACTCAAGGCTGGCACTCTACCACTTGAGCCACAGCTTCACTTCTGGCTTTTTGCTGAGAATTTCACAGACTTTTCTGCCTGGGCTGTTTTTGGACTATGATCCTCAGATCTCAGCCACCTGAGTAACAAGGATTACAGGTGTGAGCTACTGGAGTCTGGCTTAGAAATTTCATTTGGAATGTCTGCTACCCTTGAATTTTTCATATACAATTCTTAGGATTCTTAGCATTTGCTTTTTTCCCCACACTCTGAAATGAGTTTTTGTCTTCTTTCTCTTCCTTCCTCCTAAACCAGATGGTTACTTTCACTCCACAACGTTTCAATGTATTCATTATTTGATGAAAACATCCTCCACTGGGCTTGCAGCCCCTTCTTTTTTTATGCTAGTACTAGGTCTTGAACTCAGGAACCTCATGTTCTTGTTTGGCTTTCTCCACTCAAGGTTGGTATTCTACCACTTAAGCCATACTTCCACTTCCCACGTTTCATTGGTTAACTGAAGAGTCTCAGATCTAGTCTACCTGGGCTGGCTTCAAACCAGAATCCTCAGATCTCAGTCTCTGGAGTGGCTAGGATGATAGGAGTGAGCCACCTGTACCTGCCTCAGCCCTCTCCTTTCTGAGGAGTAACAATATTCACAGGTCCTCTTTCTTGGGCACTGGACAGGCCCTTTATCCACACTATCCTGGGTGATGAGGAAGCCACCATTGCTGTCCCCATTAATGAGTTTCTCAGGGTATAGATTGATGCTGTAGAACTTCCCACTGTACAGGTCACAGAGCTAAGATGTCAACCCAGCATCAGATGCCAGATTCTGCCCTCCAGATGAGTCAGTAAGGCTTTTGCTGATGCTAGACTTACGGCAAAATTTAACTCCCAGCTGTTGCTTGAATAATTGAAATCTCTCACGACTGCTCTATCTTGTAAGTGCTCAGAGTAGTGCCTGGCACATCAGTGTTGGACATTAGTATTATTATAGCTGGTCTCTGTGCCAGGTTTGTAAAAACAACAAATGAACAACCGTCACCACCAAGGACTGAATCACCAGCACCCTCCTTGGAAAACTACATTCACAGAGCCACCTTTCTTCCCTACTTGCAGTTTGAAGTGTCCTGTTCCCTCCATCTCTCAAACCAGATAGAAGTGTTAGCTATTAACTCGGCAAACTGTTAACCCTTCCTTAGAAGAACAGACAGTCTTCACTCTGCTTCTGATGAACTGGCCTCTCCCTCATCCTCTACCTGGGTCCTATGTAGACGGGAGAGTTAGAATGGAAGAGATGGGAGGAACACTGGAGTCCATTTGATGCCCTTGGAAAACACCTATTTGGAGAGCCAAAAGCCGTATGGTACCTTGGAAAGAGCATGCCTAGGGGTAGAGTTTCAATCTTGACTCACACTGGACATCTGTGTGATTCTGGGTTGGTTTGCTAACTTCTCTGAGCTTTAATTTGTCATCAACAATATGGGCGTGGAGAGGAATCCATTGGTCTCTGGAAGGCAATAGCAATCCCTGCATTGTTTCTCCAACCCCTGTGCCAAGAAACATCTTCCTGAAATCACCACCTAGATGCCTAAGCAGTATTTTAATGGGTTGAGCTGGTGAGTCTTGGGGTGCACACCTGCAGGCCCATTCTGAAGTTCTTGATCTAGTGTCCATATACCGATTTCTTTTAGAACCCCAGATCTGGGGAAAGGTAGAAGAAGCCAAACTGAGAGTGGAAAATAGCCGCCTAAATGGAACACAGGCCCCATGGGTTCTTGAGCTAAATCTTTCAACTGCTCCATGATGTCATCTGGCCCCCTCCCCCAGCCCTCCCTCCTCCTGTGCAGCTCCTGGGGACACAGCAATGAGGGCCCAGGTCCCAGGGGCATCACTAGCACAGGCTCCCCTGTGCTCAGCAGAGCTCAGGTATTTATAGGTGGGTGTGCACAGCTGAAATACAAAACATTGTCCCCAGCTTCTGGCATGAATGCCATGCTGCAGGTGTGTACCCCTGGCCAGGTGCTCAGGAGCACTTGGTACAAGGTGGGCCTGGGGTGCATCGAGACCAGCCTGGCTTCATCAGGAGTGTAACTGGGAGGGTACATCAGACAGGAGGTGGTGCCCTAGGCTCCACTGAGCAGGTTCACAGTATTTCATAGTGCACCCCCAACCCCAAGACAATACTTCCAGTTCTGGCTTCTTGCCTGCTGAGCCAAGGCATGACTGGTTTGTGTGGTGTTGTGCCAGCAGCTGGGTAACCAGAGTCTAGGTAAGAAGGCCAAAGCATATTTTTGTGCAAATGACTCATCTCCCGTCTCCATCCTTGGTGTCTTAAATGCCCTACAATTCTCAGTAGAACTTGGACTCACCCATTTCTCTTCTCCTGAAAGGCACAGAGAGCAGAGGAGGTGAGGGAAGGAAGGTGCTGCCCGCTGTGGTGACCTGAAAAGATGGGAGGTGGAGGCCTCCAACCTTTGGGCGTGTTGATGTTATTTCTGTAGGTTCTCAGAGGAGATTCCACTATTTATTCCATGACCTATTTCGATTTTTAGCAACTAGGAAGTCCTCCCTTTTTCTAACCTCAATTCATCA